GGTGGTTTTTTTTACGTGTCGGGTCCCAAACCCAGCGCACAACCCTATGCAGGGAATGTATCGCCTTATGTATATAGCAAAACACGATCGTAATCCAATAAAGCCAACATTTATTTTAGCTGTCCACGGTAGCATTTGTTGGCAAGAGTTATCCTGCGTTGGATTTCCAGGCTGACACTGTTGGTGGTGTTTACGCTGGTTCCAAGATCTACAACTTGAAAGTTATGACTGTCAACAGTGACGATTCGTTAGTTGACTGTCGATGCGGATAAACGTGCGTGGCGTTTTGTGCGGGTACACAATTTTTGTACAATTTTGCGCATTTTTTGTGTACTGACTCTTTGAATATAGCGGTAAGTTATATTATTATTAWTAAGTAATATACGGGCGACGTGGTCATCCACGTTGTTGTTATTGGCGGAAGCTTCGCACGGTTCCAGTGCAGCACCGTCTTGTTGGCAGTCTTCCTGACTGGTTGGCTTGCCCAAAGTGTGCAAGCATCTGTCCAGCCTTAGAAATTGCGACTCCTGTGAGTTTAGTCTACGGTGCGATTCAGCTCAGCGCCACATCGGTCGACTCCGAACCGTTACGGCCAATTGCGTGGGGTTAATATGACCAGTGGTTGGGGTTGTGGGCTGTGCCACGGTGACCACGCAATAATCGGCCGCTTGGGTGATCGCTTTTACTGAGCGGGCCTGCGGGTGGGTAGTATTTTTCAGCGCGTTCAGACGCAAGCGCCTGGAAAGCAGCTTCTCCAAAATCTTTCTGTCCGAGAGCCTTCTTCTCTAGTGATACGCCGGCGGATTAGTTCGACTGAAAGGTGAGTCGGGAAGCGACATGCCTCCTGGATGGAAGAGGAGGACGGATACCCTCGCTGGAAGCGGTTGCGCGTATGGCGTTGCCGCGTAATAAGGAGGGAGCGGGAGTGGGAGAGCGGGCGCCGCTGTGAAAGCCCAACCGGCTAGTACGGTGGGCAAAGGAGCAGGCGTCGAGAAAGAGGGCACTCGTGTCTCGTGTGCCAATAAAGATGGAACGCGGGATTTTCCACGGGGAGCTGTTGTTGTTGGGGGTGCCGCAGTCAGCCATTTGGCAGCTGCAAAGAGGATAACGGTCGAATTGAGTGGGCTCGTATTCGATGCGATAAATTGCTGTTGGAGCGTGCCTCAAAATATAAGGCGCTCCTGATGACGGTTATAACCGACGGTCAGTCGTCCCTGGAGGGTGACCTCTGCCGGTAGCACCAAATGGCAGGTAGGTACTACATAAAGTGGTTTTCCTTCAGGGTGCGACCGGATAGCCCCTCCGCTGCGTGGGATATGATCACAGGGTGGCTGATTGAAGGGCTAGAGTAGATGTCTGCCGGAGGTGCGTTCAAGAAGGCCACGAAGCTGCCGGTTGCGTCAATGCACCCGATTGCCACAACTAGGGTAGGCCAGCTGGACATCTTATTATGTCAGCTGTCTGCCCTATCTATTGTGGAATTGTTGACCGCGACCTCGCCAGACACTGATGGGTGGGATCATCCAGGTTAACTGTCAGGGCTCTTATGTGGTGATGTATGAGTTGGGGGGTTGCATGGTTGAGGGTGGGTGCG